GAACGGGTCACGCCAAAACCTCGAGGCAAGGTCCTGCTGAAGGAGGGGCGCCTGGACCTCACCCCTCTCTCAAGAGGGAAGAAACATTTGTACCGCAAAGAGATGTACGAAGGGATGCGGCGTTTCTCGGCGTCCGAGTGTTATGTTACAATCGTCCCGAAAACTGCTCATCTATGTATATTATGCATATGTGTATGTGTGCGCAGTGTGATGGGGACCTGCTGCTTAAACCTCACGCAGACGATGATACGATAAGACCATAAGCCGACATAAGACGATAAGACGACAAACGATACAAGGACAGCTGACGATAAGACGCTAAGGCGATAAGACGACATAGAGCCTATAACCCGATAAGACGATGAGACGATATAGGGCCACATCATACGATAACACAATGAGACGGTAAGATCAGATCGTCGTCTTATCGCCTGACGACGATGACAATAACGACCAGAAGGTCGGTGATGATGGCGATGGCAGCGAGCATGTTTCAGGCGAGAATGGCCCGACCACCTCAGCTCAGGACGCGTCGGACCCCAGATTTGCGAGTGCGTCGCAGGAGAAAGCGGCCGGACCACCAGGGGAAGAGATCTCGGAAATCCAGAGTTGCGAGGACGTTCCAAGCGAAGGTGGCCAGATCGTCTGAAGTCAAAACATATCGGATCCCAAATTGCCACTCGCGCGAAACGGGGCGGAACTCTTCGAAACGCGCATATTCGAACCCGGAGTGGCGAAACTGTCCCCGGGAGACTGCCCCGATCATCACACGCAAATCGCGGAGCCCAGAGAACGAGGATGTCTCACGCGAAGCGGGCCTCATCCCCCCCTCCTCCTCCTCTTTCGCCTCCTCCTCCTCCTTCCCTTATTTTTTCCTCCTCCTCATCATCTTCCCCCCGTTTCCTGCGCCCTCCCCTGGCGTCTGATTCACTCCCCGGCCTCCCCGCCCTCTTTCCCCCCTCCCCCCCTCCTCCTCGTCCCCATTTTTGTCCTCCCCCTCCTCCTCCTCCCCCTCCTCCGCCTCCCCCTCGTCCTCCTCCTCCTCCTCCTCTTCCTCCTCCTCCTCCTCCCCCTCCTCCTCCGCCTCCTCCTTTTCCTCCCCCCCCCCTCCTCCGCCGCCCGCCGCCTCGGGGCCTCCGGAAGACCCAGGCGGCCTGCAACAGGCCAAGATTATCCAAAGCCTTGATCCTCGAACCTCGATCCGCGCACCTCGAAGCGAAGGCGTCGGCGGCGACGGGGACGGCGGCGGCGTCGACGACAGCGACGGACAACCGCCGATCCAAAAACGACGACGGCGACGACGACGACGACGTCCAGGATAGCCCCGACCAGAGCGGAGGCAAGGCCAAACACTATCCGTCCGCGGGCGGTTTCGTTGTCGCCCTCGTCGCCCCCGCAGCCGCCGCCGCCGCGGCCGTCGTCGTCGTCGTTTTCGTCGTCGTCGCCATCGTCGCCAACGTCGTCGTCGTCGCCGGCGATGTCGCCGTCGTCGCAAGCGTCGTCGCCCTCGTCGCCCTCGCCGTCGCCCCGAGGGAGCCACGCGGGACTCCGCCACTTCTCTGTCGGCGGCTGGGCCCAGACTCGGGGGGGGGCGAGGGGTGACTTTTGTTTTTCGCCCGCGGGCCCCATCTGCACAGGGGCGCGACCAGCTGAGACAGATTTTGCGGCACTCCTGGCCGCGGCGCCGTCGCCCGGAAATCCGCGACGACGGCGTCGACGACGACGACGACGACGCCAACGACAACGACGACGACGCCGACCCAGACTGTCGACTGTCGCCGACGTCGTCTCAGATTTCTCCGGCTACGGCCTCGCGGCGAACAGCGCCCCAAAAAAATCGCCCCTGGCGCTTGCAGCGGTCAGGGCGCGTCGCTAGTTATGACACGGGCACAAGTGTCGCGAGCGAGTGAAAAACCAGGCAAGCGCGCAAGCGCCATGCGCCACGAACGGCCCAGGAGTGGCTCAACTTGCTAGGACTGCCCGCGAAGATTCCTCTTCTGGAAAGGGCAATTTGCTGGCGCTCCTGCCCGCGGCGCCGTCGCCAAAAAATCCGCGTCGACGGCGCCGACGACAACGACGGCAGTGACAGCGACGACCGCGACGACGACCACGACGCCGACCCCGACTATCGCCAATGTCGTCGCAGATTTTCTGGCCACGGCTTCATGACGAACAGTGCCAAACAAAATCGCCCCGGGCGCTGGTAGCGAAAAGGGCGCGTCGCGCAAGACCGCATCGATCACTACGGCCAGGTGCCCTTCGTGTTTCTGAGCGTCCTTGTGTTTTTTCCTTGCCGCGATGATGCCGGTCCGATTCTTTCTGAGGGCCGTCCTGGCGTGCCTGCGGACTCGCTCGTCCAGAAATAGGGTGATTTGTACAGCTTTGAGTGTTAAGGCGATAAGCGAGAATACGGTAACGCAGTAAGTATTATCGCTTTATCGTCGTATCGTCTGGTGAGGCCCTATATCGTCTTATCGTCTTATCGTCTGACGAGGCCCTATATCGTCTTATCGTCTTATCCTTTTATCGTCGTGTATCGCCTTATCGTCCTATCGCGCAGACAGCCAGGGGCGCCACGCGCAGTCGCCGCAGGGCCCGCGTGGCGGAGCTGGGGCAGCTCAGCGCAGACAGCCACGGCGCAGCGCCCATGCCATCAGTCCCACACAAGGGCCCAGGGACACACACACACACACACACACACACACACACACACACACACGCACGCACACGTGCACACACACACACACACACATACATACATACATAGATAGATATATACACATATAGACAAATCCTGGGATTTCCTTATCTTTTCCGACAGGGAGTTCGTGCTTTTGTTTTTTTTTAATAGTTTAAAAACAATGGAAAAATATTAACCAGAAATTGAAACAAATTCTAGGTCGTCGCGTAGGGATCGCAGCCCCGAAGCGGGGTAGATAACAAAAACTATGATGTTTGTTTTGTTTCTTTATAATAAAAACAAAAAACAAAAAACAAAAAAAATAAAAAAAAAAAAAAAAAAAAAAAAAAAAAGGCAGCGACGCGGCATGAAACAAAACAAGGTTTCGTCTGGGAGTTGTGCTGGGGGGAGATCTAGGCGAAGATCTGGGGGAAGATCTGGGCACAGATCCGAGGGACAAAATCTGGAGAAGATCTGGGGGGAGATCCGGGCGAAGATGGGAAGGAAGATCTGGGCGAAGATCTAAAGGAGATCTGGGCGAAGATCTAAAGGGGCACCCGGGTGAAGATCTGAAGAACATCTGGCGAGATATCCGAAGGGAGATCCGGGAAAGATCTGGGGAAGATTTGGGCGAAGATCCGGCGGGAGATCGGGGCGAGTATCTGGAGGAAGATCTGATGGAAGATCTGGGGAGATTTGAAGGAAAGAGGAAGATCCAGGGGGGGCTCTGGGGGAAGATCTGGATCATCTGGCGAGATATCTGAGGAATGCGTGGAGGAAGATCTGGGCGAAGATCTGGGGGAAGATCCGAGGAACATCTGAAGGAAAATCCGAAGGGGGATTGGATGAAGATCTGGGCGACGATCTGGTGGGAGATCTGGGGGGAGATCTGGGGAAAGATCTGGGGGGAGATCGGGGGGAAGACCTGGGCGAAGATCTGGGGTGAGATCTGGGGCAAGATCTGAGAGGTAAAACTGAAAGGTCATCTGGGCGGAAGATCTGGGTGAAGATCTGGAGGACAATTCGGAGGAATATCTGGGGGAAGATCACCATGGCCATTTTAAAAACTAGGTGTTCGAGTATCACTCGCGCGATGACGACACGCCATGAAACAAAACAAAGAATTTTAAAGATATGGCTTTAGAGTGGGTCCGCGAGGCTGAGCCCGGGCATGCTGACCTAGCTGTTTTTGAACTCCCTGTATGCTTTCTTGGGTGTTCGTCTTCCCCCCCACTTCCCATATTTTCCCATACTCTCCCGGGCATCGATGATTCACTGTGTCCGTGTGCGGTTGTCCCTCCTGGTCCCAGGCCAGCACGGCGACCCAGCGCACCGAGCGGAAGCCGCCCGAATGATGCGCGCGCATTCGGCGTCCCTGTTCCGCGGTTCCGTTGAGCAGGGACAGACCGTCCCGGCATTCCTGTAGTGATCCCACGAAATGTTCTTAGAACCCGAAAATGTTTTAAGAACCAAAACAATGTTCTTGGAACAGAAACCCGATGTGTTCAAACGAGACAGCCCCAGCCAGAGAGGCTCTGAGAACATGTTCGTGGCAACCACAAAACATGTCTTAGAAGATTGTTTGGTAGGGCGATCGGCGAGCCAGGACGCCTCGCCGCTGCTTGCTTCCGCGCCGCCGCTGCAGGCGCAGCGGCGGGAGGCGCGGCGCCAAACACAGCCACCCTCTGCTCCTTGGAAGCTGGAGGGGGGAGGGGGTGCGAGGGCCCGCGCCGGTCGGCAAAAGAACGAAGCAGAAAACGACCACCTGCCAGTTGACATGCCTGCATGCCTCGCCCTTCGGGCCGGGCGAAAGGGGGGGGATAGCAAAGGGGGGGTGGTTTGAGAGCCAGCTCGCGCAGCTGATTTTCCTGGCGCCTCCCCGCGCCGAGAGGCGCCCATGTATCGAGGCACGGGCCCCTCGGTGGGGCCGACACCAGCTGCAGGCAGCAGGTTTCGTACCCCCCCCCCTTCTTTCCCAATCCGCCCCTCTCGTTCGGCCCTCCCCCCCAGCCCTCTGCTCGAGGTGCGGGCCGCCGCCGCATCCACCCACGAGGGGTCCTCCTCCTCCTCTCCTCCTCCTCCTCCTCCTCCTCCTCCTCCTCCTCCTCCTCCTCCTCCTCCTCCTCCCTCCTCTCCCCTCCTCCTCCCTCCTCCTCCTCCTCCTCCTCCTCCTCCTCCTCCTCCTCCTCCTCCTCCTCCTCCTCTTCCTCCTCCTCCTCCTCCTCCTCCTCCTCCTCCTCCTTCTCCGTCTCCGTCTCCTTCTCCTCCTCCTCCTTCTCCGTCTCATTTCAGGTTCGGCCCGAGCCCTCCCCCCGGAGGCCTCTGCTCGAGGTGCGTCTGCAGCAGCAGCGTGCGCGCCAGCAGGGCGGCGCCGTCGTCCCCCGCCCGGCCGTCGAGCGCGGTGGCGCACGGCGCCTGGCCGGGAGGGGCGCGGCCCGCTCGCGCGAGGAAGCTCTGCCGGCAGGTCTGGCAGGGCAGCTTTTAATACATCGAATGTGTAAAAAATATTGGACTTTAACACATGGTTAAGTTATGAATAAATGTATGCATGAACTCATCGTTGTCTTTAGTACTAAACCCTGCATTTTGGATTCATGATCCGCACGCGGAGCATGTATTAAAAACGGCACTGCAGCAGGGGAGAGGAGGAGGAGGAGGAGGAGGAGGAGGAGGAGGAGGAGGAACGAGGCGGAAACACCAGGGGGGGGAGGGGGAGAGCGAAGGAGGGAGGGAGGGAGGGAGGGAGGGACGAGTGCCACGGCTGGGCCAGGCGTGCCGCTTATGCGCCAGTCCTGGAGAGGCTGCGCCCGGGCGGGGGCCGGCGAGGGACCTGGGGTCGTGACCCCAACGCCCGGGGGTCCCTGGTGCGGCGAGGGTGGGGACTCACTCGGGTGCCCCCGGCCTCTGTTGGAGGGGCGGAAGAGGGCGCAGGGAGGGGGGGGCGGAGCAGAGAGGGAGAAGCGAGGGAGGAGGGAGCAGAGGGTCTCTGAGGGAGGAGGGGGCAGAGAGGGAGAAGGGAGCAGGGAGGGAGGGGGGAAATGGGGGCGGGATAAGAGAGGGGCAGAAGGGGATAGCAACGCGGAGAAAAACATGTGCTAAATGCCGTGCACGTCACGAAGGTGCATGAGAAGGACACATGTCGCCCACGCGGCCGCCGCCAAGCGGTGCAAAACGATGCGAACTCTGGCGTGTGGGAGAGGAGAGACAGGAGGTGAAAAGAGGGGCAGGAGGCCGAGCGATAGAGAGAGAGCAGGGAGGAGGGAGGGGGGAGACGGGAGGGAGGACGCAAAGATCGTGGAGGAGAGGAGATTGAGGAAGGCGGACTGAGATTGAGGAGAGGAGAGGCGGATTGAGATTGAGGAGATTGAGGAGATTGAGATTGAGGAGAGGAGATTGGGGAGATTGAGGAGATTGAGATTGAGATCGTGGAGGGGGGAGGGAAAACGAGGGAGGCCTGGAGGAAGGCGAGGAGGGCGAGGGGGCGGGTCGCCACCCCGCGGTGGCGCCATCGTCCCTCGGGCGGCCCGCGGACGCCGAGGCGCGGGGTCCGCCGAGGCCGGGGGAGCGCGAGCCTCTCGCGGCAAAAGGACCTCGGGCGGAGCGAGGAGGAGCAGTGGGAAGGGGGCGGCCGGAGGAGCGAACGGAGGGGAGGGGAGGGGGAGGGGGGGGGGGGGGGGGGGGGGGGGGGGGGGGGGGGGGAGGGGGGAGGGGGAGTGGTCAGGGAAGGGAAGGGGGTGAGGGGCATGACAGGAAGGGGTCTGGGAGAGGGAGGGGGGTGGACCAGGCTTGGGAGTGGAAGGAGGGGGGGGAAGAGGGAGAGAGGGGGGACCTGCCCAGCGCAATCGTGGCAGTCTTCTTGAGGCACAGGGGGGGACAAGGAGTCACAGGACCGGAAGCAGCGTTCGCCGTCGTGGCCGACAGTGTGAGCTCGCCGTCGCTCGGGCGCCCCTTCCCGTGCGGAGCCCGGCTGCGTGCGCACTGTTGCCCTTCAAGGTGGTCCGCGAGGTGCTCCGGGATGGCCCCGATATGTGTGTGTGTGTGTGTGGGCTGGCCTCGCCGAGAAGACTGCACACCTCCGAGCGATGCCACGGTGAGGCACGCCACTGGAGGTACAACTACAGTCGGGGCGTTGACCTAAAGAACCCTAAAAAAGGAACGAGGCCCCCTTTTTCCATAAGGTAAACTTCGATTTCCTAGCGAAAACATAAGGAAAACCGGAGGCAAGCTGCGAAACACTTAAGGAACGCGGAGCCCCTCCGCAACGAAAACGGTTCCTTCCTCAGCGCCCCGAGTCCGCGTCGAATCCGTGCCGAGTCCGCGTCGAATCCGTGCCGAATCCGTGTCGAATCCGCGTCGGAGCCACGTCTAGACGTCACGTCGAATCCGCGTCGAGCCCACCTCAGAGTGCAAGACAGGACTGCAATATGTGAGCCCTCCAGCTCCAGAATAGCAAAAACAAAGTCGATATCCTCTTTCAGGGATCTGCGCGGATTTCTCGCGTCGGCGCTGGACGAGGGTCAGCCGACGATCCAAGAAATACGCGGGGACCTGAGAGAAGCTACGGATCTGCCCGATGGGTTTGTATTCGGCACCTTCCCAGGGGCCGCCTCTTCATCCTGGGTGTTTTGCGCAGTCCCAAAGCAACAAAGATTGCATCTCTGTCCTGACCTCCCAGAACGGTGGAAGTGTACAGTAGGGGCTCGACCACAAGAAAACTTCAACAAGAAACCCAACCCTGAGACCCCAGGACATTCATTGATTTCTGGCTTCCACAGCAAAACCATCGAAACCGATGAAACCCAGGGCACCCTGGAGGCAAGCAGGGTGTTTCTTGGCATGGGTCTCCACTGCAGGAACACGGAGAATGGACACCACCACCGCCACCAGCGCGAGGAGCCAGGGGGGTCCTCCTGCAGCGGTGCAGTCCCCCCCCCCCTTCTCGCTCGAGACATCCCCCATCCCCAAGCTCGGGGAGGCATCGTCGACACCCCTCGCTGGAGGCGCCCCCCCCTGGTGGCCGTGGTCTGGAAAACCCAAAAGTCGGCGGCGAGCAAGGGGAGGAAATGAGAAGGACAAGGCCTCCTCAGAAGGCGGCGGGGCTTCTCAAAGCCCTCGCGCCTTCTGAGGAGGTCTGTCTGTCTTCGAGGAAGGCTTAGAAAACTTCTCGGAAGGCCGGGGGGGGGGGCTTCCGAACCTTCTGAGGAGGCCTTCTCCTTCTCTCTTCCCCCCCTCGCTCGCCGCCGGCAAAGTGTACCGATGCCGCTACTCCCCGGACCGCTCCCGGGGTGTGCTCTGACCCGGCGAGTCCAGCCATGGCGCCGAAGGCCTCCCAGGAGGCCTAAAAAAAGGCGACAACGAGGGACGGGTGGCGGTAGGGGTACCTCTTCCTTTCCTGAGTGTCGCCTCGCCTTCCTCCCGGGCCGGGCGAAAGGGGGGAATATAGCAAAGGGGGAGGGAGAATCAGCTCACGTAGCTGATTTTCCCGGCGCCTCCCGGCGCCGGAGGCGGCTATCATGCATCGAGGCATGGGCCCCTCGGTGGGGCCGAAACCCACTGCACGCAGCAGATTTCGTAAGCCCCCTTCCCCAATCCTTACCAGCCTGGAACATATCCCTATCCCTATGCTGGGCACCTCCTTATCACGATGCCAATCTTAGGGATTCCCTTCTTTTTGGAGGGCGGATCCCTAAGATTGTCATCGCCTGTTGGCGTGTCAATCTTAGGGATAGGGATACGTTCGAGGCTGGTAAAATCCCCCCCTTTCGTCCGGCCCGACCCTCCGAGACGACGGACGTGTCGCCGTGCGCCCGCGCGGGGGGGCCTCGGCGAGCCCGGTGGCCGCCGACCCCGCGGCCGCCCGGAGCAGCGCGGCGCAGGCCAGCAGCGCGGCGCCGGGCGCGGCGCGGCGCCGGCCGGGCATCGGAGCGGCGGCGGCGTCCACGGGTCGGACCACCTCCCGGCCTGGCTCGGCTCGAGGGGCCGCTCGGCTCGAGGGGGGGGGCAAGGGGCTCCAGCTAGGGGGGGGGGGGGGGGCCAAGCTCGACCCGGAGCCGGCACGGCCTCGCCGATGGGCGGGCGATGGGCCCCCGATCGGGGGCGCAGCCGCACGTCCCTGGGCGGAGCGGGCGGGCCATCGGGCCCCCGACGGCGGAGAGTGGGCGACCGGGGGTCGCGGCAAACTCCCCCCCCCCCCCCCCCAGGCCCATCTCCCCGTGCCCGGCGGTGTCGTCGGGCTGTATAGCTCTGCTCTCCAGCGGCCGTCCAGGACGAGCCTGGGCCCCAGAGCGCCCTCGGCGAGGCGCAGCTGCTGGAGAGCAGAAGTACCCCCTGCGCCTGTCCCCGTGCCCAGTGGTTTTCGGGCTATAACTCTGCTCTCCAGCGGCCGTTCCGGACGAGTCTGGACCCCAGAACGCCCTCGGCGAGGCGCCCTAATGCTGCCCTGCCGCTGCCCCTGGCAGCTACGTCTGGGGCGAAGGAGGCGGGCCCCGAGGGAGGCGGCTCCAGGGCCCGGGGGCCCCGGAAGCGAGGGCGGTGAGAGAGCTCAGAGGGCCCGCTTCCCTCCCCCCTCCTCCTGCTCCTCCTGCTCCTCCTGCTCCTCCTGCTCCTCCTGCTCCTCCTCCTCCTCCTCCTCCTCCTCCTCCTCCTCCTCCTCCTCCTCCTCCTCCTCCTCCTCCTCCTCCTCCTCCTCCTCCTCCTCCTCTCTCCTCCTCCTCCTCCTCCTCCTCCTCCTCCTCCTCCTCCCCTCCTCCTCCTCCTGCTCCTCCTGCTCCTCCTGCTCCTCTGCTCCTCCTGCTCCTCCTCCTGCTCCTCTCCTCCTCCTCCTCCTCCTCCTCCTCCTCCTCCTCCTCCTCCTCCTCCTCTCCTCCTCCTCCTCCTCCTCCTCCTCCTCCTCCTCCTCCTCCTTCTCCACCTCCTCCCTCCTCCTCCTCCTCCTCCTCCTCCTCCCTCCTCCTCCTCCTCCCTCCTCCTCCTCCTCCTCCTCCTCCTCCTCCTCCTCCTCCTCCTCCTCCTCCTCCTCTTTTTATCCTCGTCGTCATCCTCTTTATCTCCTCCTCCCTCCTCCTCCTCCTCCTCCTCCTCCTCCCCTCCTCCTCCTCCTCCTCCTCCTCCTCGTCCTCCTCCTCCTCCTCCTCCCCCTCCTCCTCCTCCTCCTCCTCCCCCTCCTCCTCCTCCTCCTCCTCTTCCTCCTCCTCCTCCTCCTCCTCCTCCTCCTCTTCCTCCTCTTCAGCATGGCAACGACTGCCAAGGGTGGTCCCAGGCATCACGAGTGGCCTCTGGCGCGGGGATTGCCGATCGTCGCACGCGGTCACCCGTGCTGGTGGCAGTCTGGTGCCACAAACGACGGGCACATCCATACTCCGGATTCCACAATAAAGTGGTGGGGGTCACATTTGGGGGGGGGGTCTGATTTGAGCTGTCTTGGAGGGTTCGGGGGGTGTGGGCAAAGGGCCGCCCTTTCATGGATGGTCTGGGAGGGTCTAAAACTTCTCGTCTGGGAGGGTTGAGACCCCCTCCCTTTTATTACGAAATCTGGAGTACCAACAATGGCTATGTGGTCTGTGCGCCGAAGCGCAATCCCATGGGCACGCGACCCCATGATGATACGTTCCGCGCGAGGCAGTGGCGCCGAGCCGCCGTGTGGCCATGGGGTCGCGGCCCAGAAGTCAGGACCGCCAGGTCGTGAGCGGGGCTGTACCTCCCGCGCGCCATGGTGCGCCGGGGCTTGGGCCCCCCGCGCCCGCCGAAGGTATTGGGCGTCACTTACTGGGGTGTGGGGGGGGGGGGGGGGGGGGGCGATCGGTGGGGCGGGAAGCAAGGTGCACTTCTTGGGCCCTGGAGGCCCCCTTTGGGACCCTAAAGGGCCCCTTTAGGGGCCCTGAAGGCCCCTTTTCTGCAGCCCTCGCTGCCCCACCCCTTTATCGCCCCCGCATCACGCGGCACCCAAAGGCCACGCAGCAAAGGCCACTCTGGCGAAGGGCCACTCTTAGATGTAGCCGGCCGACCCGTGCGGCAGCTCGTCACAGGGACGGGATACCCTGGTCCTGGAATCCTGTGATGGGCCGATTTCCCACCACCACTACCATAGGTAGGAGAGGGAGGGGAAGGAGGAGGAGGAGGAGGAGGAGGGGGAGGAGGAGGAGGAGGAGGAGAAAGAGGAGGAGGAGAAGGAGGAGGAGGGCCTCCCCATCCTCCCTTCTCCCCCGTCCTACCGATGGTAGCGGTGTAGAAAACTTGGCCCATCATCCTGACCCTCGTGGCGAGATAGAAGGATCGCACAACAGAGCTAAGAGGTTGACGCCCCGAGCTTCGTAAGTGGGCAGCTTCGAGGTGTTCGGAAGTACGAGCCGGGGATATACATACCACATCAACCACAAATCGGGTGATAAGGAGGTGGGGGTGATGAGTGCAGTTTCCGTAAGCAATTGGCGTCAGATCGGATTCGCAACCTATCTGAGAAACGAAGCCGATACTTGTAGATCGATCGTCGTAGCTACTGGCCCCACTATGAAGCTATACTTAGGTCTGGCATGTCCCCCTACAGGCGGACCTTGAGCGAAACATGGGGGAAATCAAAAAACAGACACCCAAATAAGTAAAAGTAATCAAAAAACTCGTCCCCAGACTATATAGTTTGACTATGTTTAAATGTTCCTCCTGTAGAGGGTCAGGCCCGACTTAAACCTATACGCCGATACCTATAATAGATGTGTATAGATAAATATGATGTACGTGTCTCTGCATACGTATGTGAAAATGGTTACTTATATATGTAATCAGATGTGTATATCTATGTATATAAGTATGACAGCCGACCTATCTACTCAATATCATGATATATATATATATATATACAGATCTACTGATCGGCCACATTAGATGTCGGTCGCACTGTCAAGCGATATGGCTATCGATAGATCGGTCGATCCAAGTGCCGATCGGGCTCACAACTGATCTACGGGTACAGAATACAGTGTTTCGCTCTCACAATGCATGTATATGCCCACCGCACTGTCATCAGATCATGCAACCATCGATCTATCGGGGCAAACATGGTAATAACCTCCAGGACAATCGGGATAACCATCCGACAAACCATGGGGGCAACCATCCGGAACAAACAGGACAGCCAGAGACAACCATCAGGACAACCATGGGGACAACCATCGGGACAACCATCCCGACCACCATCGAGACTATCGGGACGACCATCGGGAAGACTATCAGGACAACCGTCGGGACAACCGTAGGGGCAACTGTCGGAACAACCATCGGGACAATGTGTGGGGCACCGGGGACTTTTCATCCTGAGTCGTTTTTCGTCGGTCCCCGGGCCCAGCGAGGGCCCCTGGAGGCCGAACACTTAGCAAAACACCGTCCTGTTCTTTTAGCACGTCGGCTCTCGGGGAACGCAGGACGCTCAAGACTGCCGCGGCGACGGGGGCGGCGCCGACGTCGCCGGGCCATCGTGCCGCAGCCACGTGGACACCCACGTTGAATCTCTTCGTTGGCCTACCTGGGCGACCTCGGGACAGTCGGCGACAGGGAGACTGGAGCCAGGGCGCCGTGTTGGTGTGACCTGGCCCCTGCTAGGGCAGGAGCTCGCACAGCGTCGCCTCGCCCGCAGGCACATTACTGAAGGGGCCCTGGGACACACAAATGAATACACACAGGTAACACGATTCTCCATCGTTTCCCATGTTTTCTGGGTTTTTGCCTTCCCCCCCGATTCCCATGTTTTCCCATATTTTCGTTGGAATCGACGATTGATTCTGTCTGTGTGTTTTTTCCCCTTCTGAATTACGCACGACACGAAACGACT